ACAAGTGGCCCGATGACGTCCGTCAGAGGGAGAGCCTGCATAACATGAAGTCACAATGCGATCTTGGGGAGAAAGATGTAAAGGAGTCATCGAGTACACTCACGTTGATCGCAGCCTCGCGTTCAGCCGGACCCTTCTCCCAAAGGGGGACGGGGACGTCGCTCGCTGTCGCTGGGGCGCTGATCATCACCTGGCCGACGCGGCGTGCCACGGTGTCGCTGTCCAAACCTGTAGATCGAGAACAGGAACTCGATAAGTCAGGAGAAACAGGCATTCCCAGAATGAAATCTGAAATACAAGGAAAAATACCCCGAGGAGAGACCCGAGTCGTGTCCTCTGGCCCATAATCGAAGGCCGGATGGATGCGGGCTTGGAGCGGTTGGATCCGCCTACCTACGAAGTCGGCAGCGACTTTGTACCCCGACAACCCCCGTATTCGGAGGTCATCGATGATGTCGATGAAAGACTGGAGGGAGGGAGTCAGGGCGGGTTTGGTGGTCCACTCTGGGATCTTGTCTGGTTGTTCTTCAGGGACAACAAGGACAAGATCTGAGTTCTCTTGTCAGGGTTACGGATAAGGTATACCCTATATCCTTGGACATATGTTGTATACTGATACGGTAGACCCGTGCATATATGAATAATTTCTGTATACGTTAAGGAAATCTATCACGTAATAGAAACAGGATCCACAAATAGAGGGAGTCCTACTCGGACAAGACTGGGTCTTTACCATATCGTGAGGGGTCCGATATCTCTGAGTCCTATTTGGAGATCAACTGACCCGCTGTCACGCCCAGAAATTCACGAACCAGAATTTCTAAGCTGAATGTGCATTAATCCCCTGTCCAGGACCAGCCAGGGTACACAAACGACAATTGTTGATATACAGATCCACGTCTTACAAAAATATATTAGATTACAAATGTAGCGGAAAAGGTAAAAGCGCGGCGACTCCACTCCACAGCCAATCCTTGACAGCAGCAACGAAACCAACCTCAACGAGACAGCTCCAACTAGGAAGATCTTCAGCTCTGGTGTGGGGGAAAAGAGAGCAAGACTGAGTACTACCCACTATACTCAGCAAGTCATACCGGAAGAGAAGGTATGATGCAAGATATAACCAAAGGAGGCTAGAGGTTCATTTGCAATAAAGCAGGCATTTAAAAGAAGTAGTTGAAAGCTGTAAAAAAGTTGCAGTAATTAATTAATATTAACAAATCACTACTCAACGCTACACCACGTTGAGACAGGCCCAAACCACCACTTGAACTAACCAGTTCCATTAGCTAACTAGGAGTGAGACTAATCACGGTGAATCTGATTGACCGCCCATAACCACGGGCACGGCTATTCAAATAGTTTTACTCTGATCAGAGGTGTACGACTCTACCCACAAAACATAGCCCCATGACATGTTTCCGTGTGCCAACATGCCACCATGACATACTGGAAAGAGGCCGTGACAGGACCCTTCGCATAACCCCCTCTAACCGATCGCACCACACCTCAGGGTTCGCCCCCGTCCCCAGCAGGCAACGGGCAGCCCGCCTCTCGTGCCACAGTGAATCTGGAAGCTGATCAACCGAACACCCCCGACCGACCCAACTCCATCACGCCCACCCTTGGCTAGGTACGTCATCTAGAGGAAAGCTACACTACAAGCCCAGCCGTTGCCCACGCTGGCTTGTGGTAAGTACGATGAATTCTTCCAGGGTTTCCCGCAAACCGGTCCTTAATCGCCATAGGCACGACTAGCAAAACCATGCACCCACAGCCCACCATGTAGTGTATTTTAATTAACTAACACCATTGCGGTGGCACTAATCCAAAGCTATGCCAATAATCAAAGTCTATGCATTAGTGTGATTCCCCCATTGTGTACTAGTTGAACTAAGCACGGCTAAGCATTCCCTAAACCAACATCTAGTCATTTTAAAACCCAAGTTATCAATGGCGTAAGGTAAACAACATATGGCTGAGTAATAGGAACCATCCCACATGATATTGTAAAATAATGCAACATTTAATAGAAATGCGGGACATTTGTAAATTGGGTACAATATGATCAATTGTAATACATGACTTGCCTTGCTCTCGCGCTGATGAGACCACAACAACGTCTTCGAGAAACCGCGGATCGACAAAACGACCGAAATCTATGCGACAAACAAAGCACACAAGCAAAACATGCTATAAGTCTACTGAAACAGGAAACAAATCCATTTTTAATAGACTCTTTGCATTTTTATGAATTTACTAAGACTTGAATGGACTTAAACGGAGCTCGAATGAATTAGTTATGATTTTTAGAAGATTCTCTGTGTTTTTACTAATAAAGAAAAGGCCTTAATTGATTTATTGCGCTATAATGCCCAGGGCTGACGTCATCCAAGAGGGGGGCGGCAAGCAGGCTTATAGAGCGCCGGTTCACCGTGGATCGGGACCACGCGGGTGGTCCACCGCCAGTCCACGGGACCAACGGTCCGGATCGGCCGGGAGCCGATCGGACGGCGCGGCGGCGGCCAGGCACGGCTCGCCCTGGCACAAAGCCGACCGGCCGGCCATGGCAAGGCAGCAGCGGCGCGCGGCCACCGGCGGTGCGGGAGATGGCGGCGACTGGCGCGAGGACGACGGCGTGCACAGGAGGCGGCGACACGCACCGGTGAAGGAGAGGAGGAGAGGGGGGTTTCTCACCGAGGTTGGCCGGCGCGAGAGGAGACAACGGCGAACGACGCCGGCAAGCAGTGGACGGCGAGTCGAGCGGGTGGACGACATCCGGAGTGACCTAGGAAAGCAAAAAAAAAAAGGATTTAGAGGGAGAGAGGTGGTTCGCGGCAAGTGGCAACGCCGGCCGAAGGCGGGGAAAATGGAGGGGCTCACCGGCGGCGGGGGAAGACGATTTCCGGTGGGATTTCAGCAACGGGAGGCGGCGGCCGAGGTAGCTTCCGCGGCGGCGAAGCTATCAGCGGCGGTGGTGCGGCGCGGCGAGGGCGCTAGTGGCGACGTCGTGCGACCGGAGATGGGCGGCGGCGGCAGAGCTCAGGGAGAGCGGCACGGCGGCGGTAGAGAGCACGGGAGGACGCGGCGAGAGCGGAAAAAGAGAGAGGGGGCTCGGGGGAATTTTTATAGGCGAAGCGGGAGGCTGACGTGACCGGGGAGGGGCCCAATTCGCCGGCGACGTGGGGAGGTGGAGAGAGAGAGAGAGTTGGGGGATTTCAAATCCCCCGCCATTTGCGGGCTAGCGCGCTTGCAGGAGTCGTGGGGAAGGTGGGCGGCGACGTGGAGGGTGTGGAGTGGAGTGCGGAAGGCGGAGGAGGTGGGCGGCATCGGCGGTTGGGGTAGGCAGCGGCGGTTGCCGGCCGGCTAGAGGAGGAAGAAGGGGCCGACAGGTGGGCCCCACCTATCGGTGACCCTGAGAGGAGCGGAAGGCGGCACGGACTGGGCCATGGCCACGGGCCGGCCTAAGAAGGAGGGGGTCCGCGCGCGGGAGGAGAGTTGGGCCGACGGCCCAACAAAGGAAAAAGGAAAAAGGAAAAGAGGAAAAAGGAAAAAGATTTTCCTGGGATTTAAATATTGCACATGTTCATTTTTAATTGATTAAAATTATCTCCAAGGCTCTGAAAATTCCACTAAAAATCATGTTAGCATATTTTGACATGTAGAACCCAAGAAAAATTCCACATGCCATTTCTGATTATTATTTGCATTTATTAATTAAGGAATTAGCTCTAGGTTAATTCAACAATTTCTTCAGACCATTTATTTAACAAATTTTAAAGCTAGAAAGGGGAACTTCAGGGCGTGACACCTGCGGTATAAAAGGAACCCCCTGGGCAGGAACTAAGGCATCGAATCTCACCGCTAACACAACCACCACAGCCTACGAAGCCGGGGCCTACAGGAGCCAAGTCGCCGGGTGATCTAGTCGAACCAACTCGACTACGGTCTCGTCGGTAATATCGAGTTTCGATATTTCTTTTGTAATCTGTGGTTTCCAACATATAATCTCATACCAACTGGATTAGGGCTATTACCTACCAAGGGGTCTGAACCAGTATAATCCTTGTCTTTTGTTTGCGTGATGTCGTATTACGTAGATCCTTGTTCCAACGTACCCCAATACCCTCTATATCTGATTTACGGGTATCTCCCGTCGACATAAACACTTAAAACATTTTGTATACCAAATAAATACCACAACATGTCTTATAACTTGTAAAAGTCGAAATAAATTCATGCTATCTGATCTAAAAATTATTGACTAAACTTTTTTGAATTCAGGATAATGTACTATTTTCTGCAGTAACCCAAAATGTTACAGAACTTAGGCCTAAATTACATAATGATACAACGAAAATTCCTTAACCATAAATCATGTTAAGTCTGTACCTATCCACTGTAAAGAAATCATTCATTTTAGACCATGCTGATTTTTTTTGCATATATTGGTGTTTGTTTGCTATCAGTGAGGAAATTGAAGAATTAAATTTGAAAATATACTATTGATTTGTTTTTTCTCAAAAATATTCGGGATGTAAAAGTTTTGACAGAAATATACCGCCGGTCTCGCGTAACCATTGCGTGAGAATGACGTGGGCATGACAACGCACACGGTTTCGCGCGACAAAAGCGTGAGACCGCGCGTACTAAAGCACGAGACCGAACGGTCTCGCGGTACCAGCTAGCGATTCTGAATGGCTGGCCAGATTCAAAATGTTTAATTACCCTGACTAGTAATATGCCCATACTAAACGCTACGGTGTAATTCTATTTGTCTTTAATATTTTTTTAAAAAAGATTCAGGTTAGCAAAAAATATATTTATATGATCTGTGCATTTGAACTTTAATATTTTATAAAGAAATGGGTGGAAGTACAAAATAGTACACATCCACGACATTTGAAGAAACATTAGTTATATCTCTGAAGGCAAAGCGCCCTCCATTGGAGGAAGTATTTTGATCCATATGTAAATGACAAAATATAAACAAACGTGAGTTGAAACCAATTTACAATGCGATTTTATATTTCAAAGTTTTAAAATATCATACATCAATTTGATTTCTCAGTAGCAGCATGAAAGCATAATACAACTCCACTAATTTATAACCTCGATACACGCCAAACATGACCATTTCAACACCATCTTTAAGTGTTGGGATTAATTGCAAATAAGAAATACACAAGTTATATGGGCTCCAAACTGGGTACATCCCGTCAATCAATTGGTATGTTATGTACAACCAACCGTTCAAATCTTGCCAAACTCTTTTGTTGAGCAGAAGTATAACTTCTGGCAGAGCAATGAAGATACTCTAACGAATCAAAACGCTCTCGCATCACCTGAAAAGGATAGTCAAAGGAATTCTGCTCAAGGCCAAGAAGATCATCAACTAATACTGAAGCAATTCTTGTATTGAAGATCATCAACTAATCTTATGACATTAGTTATCGCCCATCAACAAAAGAAATAAACGCCAAGTACTTAATGGCAGTACCTATCTCATGACATCAATATAGCAAAACAAATTTACAGATAAATTCCCAGTGCGATTTGATGTGTGGCAATAAAATATAGGCCATGACTCAGGTTACTGACAGATCAAAGGCCCCTAGCATAATTGAACATGATACACAATATACCTGAACCATGGAATCTAATCACATATGCATGACACTGTTCACTGACATACCACCTCTCAGCTTTCTTACACGGGCCGTGATATATACCGCTTGATTTATTTTTTTCTTCTAAATACATTTATATCATTTCCCTTCTACATACATGTGTCAAATGTATAAAATCAAAGATGGTTGTTTCTTGTGAGGATGTATATTGTACCTGTTTGGAATCGGCCTATGACACTCCTAATAATTTGTTCGTCAAAGCAGAAGTATAAATCTTGCTCTGTAGATCGCTCTATAGTTAAAGAAGAAAACAGTGATTTTAGACTACCAGTCGCTTGTCAATCTGCTAAAATATAATAATGAATTAACCTATAGGTTCAATCAACCCTCGCATTTTGGCAGTCTGAAGCAATGGGCTAAAAAGTAATATTTATAAGCACACTTCTTATGTCACTAACATATAATAATGAATTAACCTATAGGTTCAATCAACCCTCGCATTTTGGTAGTCTGAAGCAATGGGCTAAAAAGTAATATTTATAAACACACTTCTTATGTCTCTGAGACAAATTAACATAGATAAAGATTCATATCACAAACCAAGCCATGGTTCCAGGCAAGAACAGGGAGAGTAAAAAAAATTATGGATTTTTACTGCCGACCGAGTGAGAAGGTACAGGAACCCCACCTGAGAGAAGAGGTCGGTGACGGTGATGATGGCAGCAGCGGTGACACCATTGGTCAGCACAAGCCGCCTCGGCACTGACCCTGAACCCACCATTCGCTCGCTCTATGACGATGGCGACGCTTGCTTGAACGACGGTTGTGTGTGGCGAAGGTACTATACAGTCTTAAATGAAGCTTCATCCATGCCTTGTTACTATCTCGTTATCAGTTTATCACCTGCTAACTACTCCCTCTTGTAAAAAATATGTGTTCAAAAAAGATATATGCCTAGAGCATCAGATATACAGTCTACGGATGCGGAGAAGTGTGGATGTTGGATTTATTAGCTCGGTTCATAAGACAACAAGGAAGAAAGGATTCACTTTATGTCTGGTGAGTTTGATTTATCTATTTGGTGATGACGTCAGTTATCTGGCCATGGATTAGATCAAGTCAAATTTAAGACAGAAGATGAAGTTGAACATGGTCTTCGGGAGTCTATGATGTGACAGCTAGGAAGAAATCCAATTTCGCTTGGCAAGACGACTGTGGTGATATGAGAGAAGGTGGAGCACTGTTGCAGGTGGAGTCAAGAGGAAGAACTTGCAGGGATAGCGGGAGTCTCTTGTTACGGTGAGCCTGGTGAAGGTTCGTCGGGGCAGCTCGGCGTGAGCGGCGAAAAAGGATCAACTCAAGTCCTGGTACACGAAGGTTCGCGCATGGAACAAATTTAGGTTGGCATGGCATATTCGCCAAGGTGGAGTTTGTTAGAGTTTGTGTCGAATATGTGTACGTAGTCGGTTACAGTTTAGGACTTGCAGTTGTAATAGGTATTAGGATTAGAGTAAGAGTCGAACTCTATCCTAGGATCTCTCATAAATAGAGGGGCGTGCCTGTTGTAATCACATGGCGACTTAGCATAGCGAGAGGAAGCGGCTGCCGGCGGCGACCGGCCGTGAGTCGTTGTAACTCTGATACGCTGTATATGCTGGATCGGGGAGGAGCGCCCGTAATCAGTGCCCCGGAGATGTAAGCCTCGGCTGAACTCCATTATCAAATATCGTGCCTCGGTGTCGTCATCATTTTGGATCTCCTATGGCGTTTTCTTCCGTGTTTAGCTACCGATGTTGATTTCGGGGCTGGTTTTATAACATGCATAATAGAGTGTAAAGTACATATTGTAACTTAGCATTTGCATAATAGGAGTGTAAAGTACATCAGTACATATTTACCTAATAGTATGATACATTACCAATGTGCAGTTAGTGCCATTAAACAAGGCCTTTTTTTTTTTGCTTTTTACATTCTAGATAAATAGCCGCTAAACAATTATGTAAGAGGTGTTTAGCTGAGATCAATGGTGATTATTAGCTGCAAGATTAATCAAATCATCAAACTTAGGAAACATATATCTGACAGCAATTTGAAACTTTCCATGTTCCTAGTCAATATATAATGTATACACAGAGTCAAGTGCAAAAGATGAGACTTACAATTAAGGTTCTTGTATTGATCAGTTGAAAACTCAAGATTATACGTATCAATAATCAAAAGTTGGATTGTACTGCACTGATATGAAAGGTTAAGTTGCATGAGCATAAGGATTAAAATATTGCAGATGCAAAAGCCATCAAATTTTAGTGAGCCTGAGTACACAGTAATGATTGTTCATTGTGAGCATGACTTCATCGTAGCAGATTACTTACAGCTTACCTAGAAAATGATTAGACAAATATAGAGAGTGGAATTTGCCACACATATACCTCTGATGAACTCAGCATAGCAGCTCTGAGTCCTTTTTGTTCAGATTAAAGGAAGGAATCCACAAAGAAGAACTGCAATGTCAAACAACCCGACGGAACAGATCCCAAAGTAAGAATGCACGATTTCTTAATAAAGGAAATATCTGATCAAAGCCCAAAACGTGACTCATGTTATATACACTCTGTCATCAATTTAAATAAAAAAAATTATCCTTCGCATTGGTACAATGGTACCCCTAGGATGTGTTAAAAAATTTCACATGCCAAGATTACGAAGGTAACATCAGAAGTGAATCGTAGAAGGGAGAAACCTGGGCAATTGCCTCCTTGCTGATTGCCGTGGTCATTAGCATTCCATAAATTTTCCTAAAAGATGCAAAGGGGGATAACATCAGACACCGAAATTAGGTCATCCGTATGAAATTCACGAGTCCGACGCATCAAAAAAATTACCAAATCGCAATCGTCAGTCGCAGATCGTTCCGCGGTGGCCGTGGATAGGAGCGCGACCTGCGGGATCCAGCGCGAGATGCTCCAAGGCGAGGAGGCAGGGCATCGCGGCATCGATCTGGCGAGGGCACAGGGTGAGGCGGCGGCGACGACCGGTTGAGGTAGCGCGGTTAGGGTTGAGGGGACCGGGGGGATGGATGGCGATGGGGCGGCTGACGAAGGGGACAATGGCGACGCGGTGGAGAGCGATGGGCGGCGGACGGCGTTGTTTTCTTCGAGAGGGATGGGATGTTTTTTCTGCGAGAGAGGATAGGAGCGGGGAGGGGAGGGGATGCGCTGTTTTCGGCGAGAGAGGGATGGGAGGGAGCCGTCGGATCTTAAGTCATAAGTAGGATTTGGAGCGTTGGATGTGTGATATGATAAATGATGAATGAGTAAAGATTAATTAATTACTAATTAATCACGAATCAGATAATTAATTATTAATTATTATTAATTAATTCCTAATTAAGTAATTAGTCCCTAACTGAGCGCCGGCGCTCTCGCTCATTCCTTGTGCGAGACCGTCCGCTTTTGTCCCATGATACCGCGTAGTCTCGCAACGTTATTGTGCGAGACCCGTCCACGTCGTCACGCCCACGTTATTCTCGCGCAACGGTTACGCGAGACCGACGGTATATTTCTGTCAAAACTTTTACATCCCGAATATTTTTAAGAAAAAAAGCAAATCAACAGTATATTTTTAAATTTAATTCGGAAATTGAATATATTACTGATCCAAGTAAGGATCTTAATTAAGGCATGTGCCCCTCTTCCTTTGAACATATTGAAACCCATGTTTTTGGAAACGTGTTGTTTTATGAAACTTGCACGTGTAATTCTAACTATCTATTACTTTTAAATTGGGAAAATAGTAGCTATATCCTATTTGCTGCATAAACACCCTCAAATCTTTGATACCCTGCTATTTGTAATCATAGGAATATTCAGAGCACTTTCCTTGTGCTCAAATGAGTATATTTATGCTTTTATAAATACCTAATGCTTACCCAGCTTAAAATAAACTTACCATGGTTATGGATCACTTATATATGCTATTTGAACCATTTTAAACATTATGGACAGAGGTGATTTTCAGTGTATTTGTGAGCTAAAATGAGAGAAAATGTGAATTTTAGAGAGAGTGTTAGTTACATATGGTGCTAGTGACATATCTATAGAGAGAGTGTTTGCTTGGGTCAATTAAGAACCGAACTCTATGCCATTAACTATTGTTTACCGTGCAACCACATGTGCTAGTTATGAGATAACCTTAGCTAACTAAGTTATTAATTGTTCATTCGGGAGGCCATTGTGGTAGAGGTAGTGGCTACGAGTATACTGTGGGATATCTTGTCACGCTCGGAATTTTTATCCAAAATTCCAAACGCTTACATGTGTGTGAACCCTCGTCCAGGAATCAGCCGAGACACACAATAACAAATTGATAATAGAGTACAATTATTACTCTAATTAATAAGCGAATAAAATGTCATTACAGAGGTAGATAGTTCCTCTCAATCAATAAAGATCTAAGCAGCGGAAAAAAATAAGATAAACGGCGCAGACGACTCCACTCCGCAGGCAGCTTGACCAGGGCTACACCTAATCCTCCACACCATCAGCATCACTGAAGAACTCTTCCTCTGATGAATGATTGCAAGGTGAGTATACGACATACTCAGCAAGCCACGCAGCAAATATGCAAGTGCACAAGGATACCAAAGAATGGCATAATATATGGCTCATTTGCAAAAGCAGCATTTAGCAAACATTTGAGAATTATAAAACAGTAGAGTAATTAATCATCCATTTTAATCAACACTAAACAGCACACCCATGCTGCTCAGGCCCAACCATCCCGAACAACCATACCCGGGCTGTACAGATCTATCTCCAAACCAGGAATATACCATTCCAAACCAGGAGCTAATCAAATTATTACCAGTTATAGCATCTTTTATTATGATGAGAAGTGTGAAACTAATCACGAAAGACATTGTTAGACCCGCCCATAACCGCGGGCACGGCTATTCGAATAGTTTTACTCTGGCCAGAGGTGTACCACTGTACCCACAAGAGACAGCCCCACAACATGTCACCATGTGCCTCAATACCACCACGGTACCACGGAAAGGAGCTGTGACAGTACCCCTCGCACAACACAATCCACCACAGCGCACCTTTCCTCGATCATAATCACCCCCTTATAAACAAGGCATGAACTCCCCAGCGACCCCCGTGGGCTTATCTCCGCCACTTCTTAGTCTGGTGCTCCGCAATAAACCATGCTATACAAAAGGTAAAGCCGTTGCCCACGCTGGCTTGTGGTTGGCACGGTTAATGTTTCACAACCGAAACTCGTGAACCGGTCCTTAATTATCATGAGCACGACTCTCAAAACCATGTGCTCACAACCCACCATTATCAAGTTTTAGTTGGCAAGTAATTAATTAACCAATCACGATTGACCATCGTGAACTATCATTAAGCCAACATTAAATAATAGTGAGTCATAAGTTATCCCAATAGTGTGCTAATGTTTCTAAGCATGGCTAAGCAATCATATCTAATATCTAGCTGAACCAATATATATAGCCCAACTAGTCAAGTTATAATAACCCAATGTATCAAGGAATAAAGTAATCAAGAACAAAAGGGCTATAACAAACAATAGGTTAATTCCATCCAATGACATTCGAAAATAAATACAATAGTTGAATAGAAACAATAGCTTTAAACGGGATCAACATGCTCAAAGGGTTGTTTAGAATCTGTGTGACTTGCCTTGCTGGCCTTGGAACTCTTCAAATTCTTCTCCTGTAAAAACGGACTCTCCGGAAACGTCGGAATCTAAACAGAAAGGAGCAAAATCACCAAAACAGCACATAAACAAGCATGAACAATACATGTGGATATTTTTAACATGTAGATCTCAATTTTAGAAAAATTTAGAGACTTGAACCAACTAAATCCGAGCTAAGATGAATTAGTTATGAATTTTCAAAGATTAAATCGGATTAAATCATTTATTTAGATTTTAATTGAATTATGACGCAATAATGAATTATTTTTGAAAAGGAAAAGGGAATTATTGCGTCAGCGGCTAGGGTTCGCGGTGAACCGGGTGCACGGCGGCGGCTCACGAAAACGAACGGCCGAGATCTTTCCATCCAAAACGAACGGCCGAGATCGACCGGTCCACGGCCGGACCACGGGAGACGACGACGATGACGTCAGCGGTGACTTAAAAACCTTTTTCAATTTAAATTATTCATGAAATGCAATTCCATTTATTAAAAATACTTCCTTAGCTCAAATAAATCCCAGAAAAATCTAGAAATTATAGAATTAAGCAAAGTATTTAATGAAATTTTATCTGGCCCCATTTTATATTGGAATTTATTATTTAAAATTAGATCTTCTTTTCTAGACTTTAAAATAAATTCTATTAATTACAATTAAACAACAATTTATATATTTAGGATTTTTAGGGTGTGACAAACCTACCCCCCTTAAACAGAATCTCGTCCTCGAGATTCGGAAGAACTGGCGAACAGATGCGGATGAGCTGACTTCAATTCATCTTCTCGTTCCCAAGTTGATTCTTCTTCCGAGTGATTACTCCATTGAACTTTACAAAAACGGATAACTCGATTTCTGGTTCTTCTCTCATCTATTTCCAAGATACGGATTGGTTTCTCAACATAGGTCAGATCCTCTTGGACTTCTATCTGTTCAAGATTAGCTTCTTCGGTAGGTACCCTTAAACACTTTTTCAATTGCGACACATGGAACACATTATGGACTCCTGCCAAAGATTGAGGTAACTCCAACTGATAAGCAACCTCTCCTCTTCTACTGACAATCTTATAAGGTCCCACAAAACGCGGTGCCAATTTTCCTTTGGTGTGAAAACGATGAACTCCTCGAAGAGGCGTGACACGAAGGTACACATAATCTCCTTCGTCAAAATTTAGATCTCTACGACGATTGTCGGCATAACTCTTATGACGAGACTGGGCCATACGCAATCTTTCTTGAATGATTTTCACCTTTTCTTCTGCTTCCCTCAGGATATCCATCCCGAAAACCTGACGTTCTCCCGTTTGATCCCACAAAAGCGGAGTGTGGCACTTCCGACCATACAGTGCTTCGTAAGGAGCCATCTGAAGACTAGCTTGATAACTGTTGTTGTACGAGAATTCGGCGTAAGGCAAATTCTTATCCCAACTTCCACCGAAGTCTAAAGCACAAGATCTCAACATGTCTTCCAAAATCTGGTTTACCCTTTCAGTTTGTCCGTCTGTCTGCGGATGATAAGCAGTACTAAAGTTCAGCTTAGAACCCATCTCTTCCTGAAGCTTCTTCTAAAACTTTGAAGTAAACTGACTACCTCGATCAGACACTATTTTCTTAGGGACGCCGTGCAAACACACAATCCTTGCCATATACAATTCCGCCAACCGACTTCCGGAATAGGTTGTCTTTACTGGGATGAAATGAGCCACTTTGGTAAGTCTGTCGACTATCACCCAAATAGAGTCATGGCCTAATGACGTTCTAGGTAGACCAGTGATGAAATCCATACCGATTTCCTCCCACTTCCATTCAGGAATCTTCAAAGGCTGCAGCAAACCTGCGGGTTTCTGATGTTCTGCCTTGACTCGCTGACAAACATCACATACTGCTACGTATTCTGCGATTTCACGCTTCATACTTGCCCACCAAAATCTTTCCTTGAGATCCTGGTACATCTTGGTACTACCCGGGTGAATGGAGTATAAAGTATCATGAGCTTCTTTCAGAATTGCATCTTTTAAATCTTTGTTGTCGGGGACGCAGATTCTCTCGCCCAACCATACAGTTCCTTGCTCATCTTCCAAGAAACCGATAGCTTTTCCTCTTCTCATATTCTTCTTGATTTCTTGAATATCAGGATCATTAATTTGGGCTTCTCTAACTTGATCAATTAGAGTGGGCTTTGCTTCTAAGGCTGCAACGAAACCTCTACTGACAATTCCCAAATTTAATCTTTCAAATTCCTTACATAACTCCAATGGCAACTGTCGTCCTTCCGTAGCATTGCAATAGCCTTTCCTGCTAAGAGCATCTGCTACAACATTAGCCTTTCCCGGGTGATAATGAATTCCCATGTCATAATCCTTAATTAATTCCAACCATCTCCGTTGTCTCATGTTCAGATCTGGCTGAGTAAAGATGTACTTTAAACTCTTGTGATCGGTGTATACCTCTGTACGAGTACCGAAAAGATAATGACGCCAAATCTTCAACGCATGAACCACTGCAGCTAACTCAAGA